TTGTATGTTGTTGTGTGTGTGCGACATAAGAGCTAGATCATCTGCGACATCTAGATTGTCCAACTACATTCTAGCTGTCCATTGTATCCCATGCTTCCCCCAAGATGTTGATATCTTCATATTTCCAATCGATCACCAGGAGAAACAGAGTCAGCCACTTTGCCTGATACCTATCTTGACTTCAAACGAATCTATTACCTACCTATAAAATCCTCAAGTACTTTAGTAAATTATATTTTTTTAAAAATCTAGACACCAAAAAAATACAACAATAGTCTATAAACGTTTAATTTCTATAATAATTATTCATTGTTTATAAAACTTTCATGAATTTGTTTAAAATTGTTACATAATAATAATAATAATTTATTAAAAAGTATTTCTCAAAGTTTTAATTAATTCACAAGAATTTCACCCGGTAAAAAATTAATTTTTTTTTTTACAGATAATTTTCCAAAATAAAAATGATGAACGTGTCGTTTTTAATTTTCACTGATGATGACATTTTTAAATAAAATAACAGTAGTAGGAGTAGGAGTAGTAGTTAGTATGTAGCCATTAGAAATTCACAAAGCGTTAAATGTTCAATAGTAAACAGACAATTAACTAACTCACTAACTCTCTCATCAATAATCATCATCATCACAATCTAGGCATGAACTTCATTATTATTAGTATTAGCAGCAAAAATTGGAAATCTAATTAACTTTGAAAGTCAAATTGTACCTCCCCGTGAAAAATGAAACATATTTAATTAGTGAATTTGTTTAAATTTATCGTTGTTATTTTTATTATTAAGAGATAACATTTTGAAGATGAGTGATTGAAATACCTTTAAAAACGTTAATTAAGTAAAATCTGCCGACTATACATATGTATATATGTGCCAAATGATTAGATTTATAAATGTGTGATTGTGTACACAATAAACTAGGGTGATAAGCTGCTGATCAAATAAGTCTACCAGTCAATTCTAAGTGGTACCATTTTTCTCTTTTTCAAAAAGATCGATTAAGCATCAAAGTCTTTGGTACAATCCATGATGAGGTTGTGTTTGAAAAACTGTTCATAAAATCCTGTATACTGTTGAACCAACTATCCAGTAATTCTCTGGTTATGTATGTATATACTTACTTACATAAGCCTGTTACGCACAATGGAGCATAGGCTGTCGACAGTTTTCTCCAACCAACGTGACGCAGTTGGGTGCTTTTCGTAGCGTGTGTCCTATCCACTTCAATCGCTTCTTCCTGATTTCCTCCTCCACTGGAATCTCGTTTGTTCTCTCCCACAGTACGTTGTTGCTGATCACGTCTGTCCAACGAATGCGAAGTACTTTGCGTAGACAACTGTTCATAAACACTTGTATCTTGTGGATGATGGCTTTGGTAGTTCTCCAAGTTTCCGATCCATACAGTAGAACTGTCTTGACATTTGTATTGAAAATGCTGATTTTGATTTTGGTTGAAAGTTGTTTTGAGTTCCAAATATTTTTCAACTGTAGAAATGCATCCCTTGCTTTGCCGATCCGTGCCCTCACATCTGCGTAGGATCCACCTTGGTTGTAGATGATGCTGCCAAGATATGTAAAGTTGTTAACGTCCTCCAAAGCATCTCCATCAAGAGTGATTTGGTTGGTGCATGTTGTGTTGCATCGCAGAATCTTATTTTTTCCTTTATGTATGTTGAGACCTGCTGCTGATAAGGCTGCTGCTACACTGGTCATCTTCTCTTGCGTTTGTTTGAGATTGCTCAAAACCTTAGACTGATCAAAAATTAGACATTACCTTTGTTGGATATCGGCTCAGTGTTTTGAATGTTTAGCGTTTGTACGCGAGACTGAAGGTCCTGTGTTCATTTTCGATGAACAAAGCTCATGGATGAACAATGCTGAAGAGTTGCACACCAGGACGAAACGGCCATCCAGTTCTTGCTTGTTTGCAATAGTGATATAACAATGGTTGATTCATGATTTCAATGTATAGTGTACCAATAATATTTATGAAGCCAAAATTTCATGACTATTCCTTTTCATTACGTTTTTACAGAATAGCTACTTGCATTTGAATCAATAAAAGTAGCTGATGAGGATTCGGTCAATCGATAATAACTTTTGCAAAGATTTAAAAAGGATGATTTTAAGCATTTGTTTTTTCTTTACAATTCGACTTATATCATTATTTTGTTATTACAAATGAAGATAGAAAATCGTTTCGTCCTCATCCGAGATTCCACAACAATTTGCATCTACCAGACCAGCATACGGGGTGAGTTGGGCCGTGTCACATGTGAGGTGGTTACCCATAGAACACAATCGATGAGGTCGTGGACTATGGTGGATTGACTGACGTTAAAAATTAGGACTGTTGGATACTGGCTCAGTGGTCTTGGCGGCTAAGCAATCTGACATAAAACTCGAAGTTCCTAGGTTTCATTCCTCTGCTCAAGGGGTCGTGAATGCACACTGCTGCGGAGTCACATAGTAGGACGCAGTGTCTTTCCAGTGCTTCTAGGTTTCTAATAGTGATTTAACATTGATTAGTTCATAATTTCAAAGAAACATGATTATACCTGAATGAATATTAGAAAGTACAACATTTTTAAAAAGTTCTCTTATATATATAACATAGAATTCGAAATTCACTCTTATCAAAAATAGTTCTTCATCATATTTATAAATCAAGGAGTTTTCTAAACTACTGCCAACAATAGTAACTCATGATTTTCAAATTTCGCTACAGATACTTTGCTTATATTTTTATCTGTTGATTTTAAGTTGATTGTTGGCACTTTGATAATTGAATTTGATTTACCTAATAATATACTACTGTATGGATACTACTCATAAAGTGGTTTACTAGTAGTGTAATAGTGTAATATCACCTAGAAGTTGTTACGAGATAGAGAGAGAGAAAGAAGTGTTCACCAGGAGATTGAAATGTAACGGCATGATCGGAGTAATTTGAAGATTAATAACCTGCTTACATTGCAAGCAGATTATTGAAGGCTACATACATACATATATCTTACTAACTTGCTTACTTGCTTACAAGCTTACTTACTTACTTATGCACTTACCTATTTACCTACTTACTTACTTACTTACGCACTTACTTACTTACTTACACACTTACTTACTTATTTACTTACTTACTTACTTATGCACTTACTTACTTACCTATTTACCTACTTACTTACTTAGTTACTTGCTTACTTGCTTACATACATACATACCTACTTACTTACAGACTTACTAACTCACACCAGCAAATTATTTTTCCATTTAGCGTCCTTCCAGAGAGTTGGATTTCTACTGGATGGAGTCGCGAACCTCAACGCCTAACCCGCCCCCTTTTATCTGGGCTTGGGAGATGTAGTATCTCTAGAGGTACTTCAGGCAGAGCTATATATATATATATATATATATGTATCATAAACCAACTGTCTTCTGAAAGTCTATAACTTATGTCCAGGCTTGACCTCATAGATAATTGTCGGTAAATGTTTTTATTTCTGACTATATATATACATCAAGAATTTATATTATAAATTTAGATACCAGTCACCTTTTTTCCTTTAATTTTTGTCGGCAATTCTTAATTACTACTCTTGTATAATGTGCGAAGTAGTCTAGACCAGATGGAATACACTGATTTTTTAAAAAGAAGTCATAGTTTATTTGTAAAAATATATGTATACAACATTGCCAGACATTGATTTGCAATACAAGCAGATTATTGACTATCTTCTATGTGACATTCCACTGCATAGTACTACTTATATATTATTATACCGGCTTGTGAGTAGCATCCATTTACACTTCTACGAGCTTTTGGGAAATAAGTAACCAATCGAAGGTAACTGAAACAAGAGTTCTCAAAATCAAAAACCACATGATTACTGTTAATATTTAGTGGTTTGTGATTTACTTACTTACTTACTAACTTGCCTACTTACTCACTTACTTACTTATCTACCTTACCTACTTACCTTACGTACTTACCTACTTACTTATTTGCTTACTTACTTACTTACTTACTTACTTACACACTTACTTATGCACTTACTTACATACTTATGCACTTATGCACTAACTTACTTACTTACTTATGCATCTACTTACATACTTACTTATGCACTTACTTACTAACTTACTTACTTACTTATGCACTTACTCACCTTATTACTTACTTACTTACTTACTTATCAATACAAAAACCATGGAAGACGTGAAAGTGTTACGCAATTGTTTCAGATGTCAAATTCAACAAATTCAAGCTTTACTAATAGCTCTACTCTACAAAATCATTTTGCACAATCATGATTCACTTATTGATCAATGTTATTTATTCCGTACCCCGAAAGATAAGCTCTTTGTTTTTTTTCTTCTTCAAAACTGGTAACATATTTTACGTAACAATGTTGAAATGCACAATAATTCACACTGAAACTTTACAATCATAATTGATAATATTAACATTGATATAAAAATGAATATTCAATGAACCAATATACTACCACTACTACTACTACTACTAATACTATTCAGTAGCTTAATTCACATTGTCCAATCGATAAATCTCTATTCGTGGGAGGTAAGATCTACTAAGTCCTATTTTTTGCTTATTTCTTTGTTTTACATCACCAAAAATAAAATCAAAAATGCATTAAAACAAAATTCACAACACAAAAAAAATAAAATACAAATCAATCCCAATGAACCTTGGCTATTTATTTTTTTCTCTCACACAGAATTCAAATCATCATTCCAGTAATCATCATCAGTTGGATTACTAATACTAACTAATTGATATTCATTACATTGAATTTTGATTGGCCAACACATGGCTGTAATGACCTTGACGGGTCAAACCAATCGGCACACGAATACAATAAATGTGCTAATGTGATTGATATAAATAAATGTGGTTTTTTTTCTGTCGATGACAAATCAGTAAAAGCATGCTTACATTATTATTCAATAATTGTTATGTATTTAAATGTTTCTAAATAAATTCGGTTATGTAATTGTTGTAATAATAATAATTTTAGAAATTATTCATTGTAATGTTACATTATTGGAAAAAAATACAAGTTCCGCAGTGAATTCACCATTGAATTCAAGTTTCAATTATTCACTGTTTAAAACAAAACGGAATAGTAATAAAGCACATAGATATTTCCGTAATTCGTTCAATCGATTTTTAAATTCATTTCTACAAACACAACATCATTATCAGTCAGCACAATCGGAATTATTTTTGCATGATTTTAAATTAACCGGTGATTCTGTTGAATTTAAACAAATTGAACCATTGAATGTCGTTGATAATAATGATGAAGAGTTGATGCACGGGAATCATATACATGAAATTAATTATTTTAAGGATAATCCACGATATGAAAATAAAACAGGTGAGTTAACATTGTCATAGATTGTGTAGGGCGCTTTTATGTTGTTCATTGTTCAATTGTATTGAAGATTTCAAAAAAAAATTAACGAAATACGATTAAGACTTTGAGATGGTGGAGAAAACTTGTAGCTCAGGTGGATGATTGTGGTGTTGGTGTTTCGTTCTCTGAGCTGGATGATGTTTTGGTTGTGGAGCTTTCATCATTGTTCTTCTTCTACTGAGCAACATCATCGTCAGCACAAACTTCAGATAGCAGAAGTGAAACATTCGAATTTCTCCACGCGTTTGACCTGTAGCTTGTGTTCTCCTAACCTCGATGTTGATTGGTTGCTGTTGATCGAGGTTAGCAGAACAAACTACAGGTCAAACGCGTGGAAAAATTTGAATGCTTCACTTCTGTTATCTGAAGTTTGTGCTGATGATGATGTTGTTCAGTAGAAGAACAATGATGAAAGCTCCACAACCAAAACATTATCCAACTCAGAGAACGAAACACCACCACAACGATTAAGACTGATAGAGTTGTGAAGATTGTTGAGTTTCATTGCAATGAAGCATCAATCATAGTTTGATTGAAAGCATCAGATATCCGTTTCGTGCTTTACAAGTGATTTATTTCTTGAGAAAATTCTCTCAGTTCTTTCTAGTGGTAAGAAGTTGTGACCAGTGGAGTTCAATTGTGTCAAATGTGAAGCAGTTACCCACTGAACACAATGGATGAGATTGCGTACGTAATATTGTGAATTGATTGAAGCTAGACGTTAACCTTATTGAATGCGGGCTCAGTGATCTAGAGATTAAACGTTTGCGTATGAGACTGTAGGACCTGAGTAAGGCTATGGATGTGCACTGTTGATGAGTTCCATACTGCCTTCAAAGCAGACATCCAGTCCTTTTATGTTTCTAATGATTAATTCAAGATTTCAATGAAAGAAAAACGATTCTAAAAGTATCATATTTGTTTAAAAATAATTGATTTACCACCCACTTTTTATAACTTCTTAACGGTATCGATTTCTTTTCGACCTTGCTAACTTTACAGTTGACATTTCTCTAATACAAGTTACATAAATAATTGTTAATATATCATCATTATTAAAATCATGAATCGATCAATGTTAGATCAACATTAGAAACCTAGAAGCATTGAACGGCCGTGTAGTCATTCTAAGATCCATTTTTTGAAGGCTTTGTTTGTAAGAAATCCCTCCATGTTGTATACATTAGTAATTTGTCCCTAAATGATTCCTTCAGTTGTACATTTTGTTGATCTGTTCAATTCTATTTTGAGATGATAATATTTGTATTTTATTATAGTTTCTATTTCTTCTTCTGCCTTCACTGAGTTTCTATGTTTCCTTCTGAACTGTATTTATGTTGTTTAAGCTGATACTTAGTCATGGTGACAGCCATATTGATTTGTTCCTCTTTTGATTGGATTGCTTGCTGCTGACTGGAATTGTGCATTTTGATTGTGAATTGGAGCACTCTTCTATAATTGAAAACACTCTTTGTTATAAAGCAACCGAATATTATCTGTCGAACGAATCTGATCTATTCAGGAGGGATAGAATAACATTTATTTGAATAATTGAACAATTGTTGGTGGAATAATAACTGAGTGGTAATATTTGTTTAAGTAATGACGTATATTTATATTTATGATGAACATTAGGACCGTTATTTACTCAAATCACTTGTTTTGGATATATACTGGGCAATAGCGCGTATCTAAACTACCTAGACAGTTATTCTTCAGTTCAAACCTCAGTTTGGATCCTAAAGTCATTAAATGGTGTTCTTTAACAGTGCACATCCACGACCTCCGCATAAGGAAACCGAATCCAGGTTTTTCGGTCTGTTTAATAAACACTTAATCTCTAGGTCACTGAGCTGTCATCTGTTGGTGTTGTTGACCTCATCATTATTGTGTTCATTGGTTAACTGTCACACACACGACAGGGTTGATGCCAACTCAGTGGTCTAAAGGTTAAGTGTGTTCGTGCGTGAAACCAAAAGTTCAGGGTTCGATTTCCACTTACGGATGTCAAGGATGTGCACTGTCACTGATAAGTTCCATACTAGGACAATACGCCTGGCTATTCAATGTTTCCAAGTTTCTTCTAATGGCTCTCTAACATTGATCGCGTCATATTCAAGAATCTGAATATTTTCACCAAGTTTTCATAAAGCCTAACAATGTATTCATTGTGGATTCTTTCTTCAATTGAAACAAATCTACATACTTTATTATTGGAAATGTCAAGAATAACTTGAGTAACAGAAAAAATTTGGCGTTACACTCGAAATTATAATACTTCTGAGCATTATTCAACTATTGTACATTGAATAATTTAAGTTCTGAGATGTTGGAGAAAATTTTTAGCTGAGGTGGATGATTGTGGTGGTGGTTTTTGGTTCTCTGGGCTACGGATGTTTTGCTTGTGGAGTTTTCATCTTCTGAACATCATCATTAGCACAAACTTCAGATAGCAGAAGTGAAACATTCGAATTTTGACCTGTAGCTAGTGTTCTACTAACCTTGATCTTGATTGGTTGACAGGTTTAAGTTAGACAGCAACCAATCAAGATCGAGGTTAGTAGAACAAGCTACAGGTCAAACGCGTGGAGAAATTCGAATGCTTCACATCGGCTATCTGAAGTTTGTGCTAATGATGATGTTGTTCAATTTAAGAAGAACAATGAATGCTTCACAACCAAAACATCCGTAGCTCAGAGAACAAAACACCACCCTAATTTAAGTTCTGTTTCGAAAAACGTTTTTTCTTTCGTTTCCATGTTTTTCTAGAATATTCGAAACTTTTAAAACTTATAAATGAGCGAAAATATCCTACTAATTTTAAATTGTTCATATTCTAATATCTTTACAATTAGTCTTTCTTGACATTTGAACTCAAATTATTCTTGGTATATTCAATGAAAAATATGTACAGCAGTTTTGTTTTAATAGTTAGAACTAAGATTATACAATTGTAAGTGATTGAGGAGAGAATCCAAAAAAAATTACGATAAATTCAACGTTTTCTAAATGGGAAAAACTGTCTTATTCTATACACCATTTTAAACTCTTTCGAGGGCCATTCGAAGGTTACCGCCAATCCCAATCGCGGATAAATGAAGAGGAGTGTTAGACGTAAAGGTTAGAGAAACCCATTCCCTTTGAAATCCAACTCGTAATTAAGTAATAACGATGCACAATTTTAAATCTTAAAATGCTTGAACAAAAAAGTAGTCAATTCTGTTCTATTATTGGTATTATATCTGTGATATCAAAAATTACACTTGTACTTCAGTATTCTAGACGTTCAAACGAATAGATGATGAGTCCCATACCAGGACGAAACGGCCGTCCAGTGCTTCCAGGATTCTAATGGTGGTCTAACAATGATTGATTGATGATTTCAAATGTGTAAAAATGCAAACCTCCAAAACTGTGGCCCGAAATATCGTAACAGTGCTCACTAGTGACTAGCTTCGTGAGGAAATTCTTGGAGTTTTAGTTGAGAAGACGTGACCAATGGAGTTCAACCCTGTCGGGTGTAGGCAGTAACTACCAAAGACAAATGCGTGAGGTCGCGCAAAATCCGTAGATCAATTAGAGTTAGACATTAACACCGTTGGGTGCAGGCCCAGTGGTCCGATGGTAAGGCGTTCGCCTACAGTGCCAAAGGTCCCGGGTTCGAATCCTGCGAGGAGCAGGAGTCGTGGATGCGCACTGTCACTGATGAGTCCCATACCAGGACGAAACGGCTGTCCAGTGCATCCAGGTTTCTAATGGTGGTCTAACAATGATTGATTGATGATTTCAAATGTGTAGAACAGAATTTCATTGAACAGCTAGTGTAAGCTAAAATGCTTTGAGGTTTTTCAACTTTCAACTCCAATCTAATCACCGTTTTTATTATTAAAAATTAAATAGTTATTCATTTTAAATCATAGAATTATGGAGATTGTTGATTTTCATTGAAATCGAAAAATCAATCATTGTTAGATAGCCATTAGAAACCAGGAAGCACTGGATGGTCGTTTCATCCCTAGTATGGAACTCATCAGGAGAGTGCATCATAGTGCCCTCAAGCGCCTATTGTAATAAGGACATTCAGTCTAACGTGCTTAACATGCTTAAGCCCCTAGACAAATGAACCAGCAGCATTCAACAGTGTTCATGTTTAACTTCAGTCAATCTAAGCTTATGGTTCAGCCTCACTTAATGTCTTCGACAGGTCACTGCCTCATACGTGACCTAATTTAAACTCCACTGGACACGACTTCATACGAAAACTCCGTGATATTTATAGCAAAGCTAATCGCTAATGGTTTCAGGTTTCTGATAGTGGTCTAACAATGATTGAAACATGATTTCAATAAAACTGAAATCATTTAAATCGAGATTTATTGATGTAAAGTTTGAATGGATAGTGACAGTTCAATGTATACTTAATTTAAAAATAGAATATTAATGTTATTTCTTCTAATGAGGAGATTAGTTTTTAAACTTGTACGCATATGTCAGTTAGTCAGTTGACATATATGATGAAAACGTACATCAGTTCAAGTTATGATAGGATATTAGCATAAAGAGATGAAATTGTCAAGTCGAATCCAACAGAGTAGTATAAATTGTAGCAATAGTAGTAGTGTAGTGAACGAGAACACAGGTGAGGACAACTGAATTGTATTTAACGAAAATTACAGTGTTACTCAGTAAAATCGGAAAACCATATCGTAAATCGTTCATTTGCAAAATATCAATCAGTTCATCATATCGAACTGGACTGTTCCTGTTGCAAAACATCGTCAATCCATTGTCACTATTCATGCGTTTCATACAAATTCCATTGTGTTTTCTAACTCTTCCTTTCTTGTTGATCTTCCCCCATCTTCTCTTCTGCTGCCAGACATTACGTTGACACTCATGTCATATACTACTTATAAGTAGCTCGCACCACAGTAGTATTAGTGGTTGCATGAAAATTGAAG